TGAACTCTTTGCACTAATGAGCCCGGGCCTTTTTCCCGTCTCGCCGCTACGCATATGGGTTTTTTTCTGCTCTCCTGCTCCCCACAGTTAGTCCCTTTGGACGTCCGTGACAGAACCTTAGGGAAGCAGTCCATACCCACAGCAACTGAAAAAACACATATTCATGCAGCATGATTACTGTTTTGGAGTTTTTTCCTTTTGTTTGTTTTTTCCAGTTCTCTGTTTAAAACATTTAGGCCATATTTTTACCTTTAATATTCTGTTTCTGAAGTATATCTATAGTTTTTTCATTGATTCTGACTAAAAAAACATGAATATTTTATTCATAAAGAGCCTTTCCAAACCCAAGAATGCTGTACACAGTGATAAAGAAAAAGACAAAAAAAGCACAATAAAAAGTAAAAGAAAAAACAGCAGGTTAGATAGATAGATAAGACTTTATTGATCCCGAAGGGAAATTGATGTGCTACAGCAGTCCAGCCCAAGACAAGCAAAAAACAGACATCAGAATAGACAAAAAATTATACAAAACAAATATAAAATAAATAAATAAAAATAAATACATAGGTGTGTGCAAAATATGATGATCATAGTCACAGTAAAAACAATACAATATGTACAAAATGTGCATAGGTTTATACAGATTGATTGTCCAAAACGTACAATGGAACAACGTGCTGTGCATAGACGAGCACATGAAAAGGCTAACAGTCCTAGCATAGGCCAGCGTTATACACCCTGACAGCCGCCGGGAGGAAAGACCTGTGGAAACTTTCTCTTGAACACCATAGCTGGAGCAGTCTGTTGCTAAAAGTGCTCCGCTGCCCAGTAACAGTCCCATGAAGTGTATGAGAGGAGTTGTTCATGATGGCTGTGAGCTTGGTCAGCATTCTCCTCTCAGCCACCACCTCCAGGGGGTCAAGGCTCATCTCCAACACAGAGCCAGCCTTCTTGATGTGTTTATTGAGCCTATTTGCATCTCTTGTCATGATGCTGCTGCCCCAGCACACAGCAGCGTAGAAGATGGCCGCTGCCACCACTGATTCATAAAAAATGTGTAGCAGTGTTCCACACAAACCAAAGTACCTGAGCCTCCTAAGAAAATAGAGTCGGCTCTGTCCTTTCTTGTACAGGGTGTCAGTGTTACCAGACCATTCCATCTTATCATCCAGGTGTACCCCTAAGTCCTTGTAGGACTGCACCCTCTCTATGTCCTCACCCTGGATGGAAACAGGGTCCGGCGGAGACTTATTCCTTCGAAAATCCATGACCATTTCTTTGGTCTTACTGGTTGTTTAACTGGAGATGGTTAAGATGACACTACTCCACAAAGTTGGTAATCAAGCTCCTATATTCCTCCTCCCTACCCTCACTAATACACCCCACAATTGCAGAGTCATCCGAAAACTTCTGCAGATGACATGCCTCAGAGTTGTACCTGACGTCAGAGGTGTAAAAGGTGAACAGGAATGGAGCAAGGACAGTCCCCTGTGGGGCCCCAGTACTGCTAACAACCTGTTCAGGCACACAGCTCTGTAGCCGTACATACTGTGGCCTGCAGGTCAGATAGTCTTTAATCCAGGACACCAGGGGAGTGTCCACCTGCACCGCCCTTAGCTTGTCTCTCAGTAATGGGGGATGGATGGTGTTAAAGGCACTGGAGAAGTCAAAGAACATAACACTCACAATGCTCCCCGTCTTCTCCAGGTGAGAGTTAGCTCTGTGTAGCAGATAGATTACTGCATCCTCCACTCCCAAGTGTGACCAGTAGGTGAACTGCAGGGGGTCAAGTGCTGTACTCACCAGGATTCTGAGGAGTCCAATACAAGCCTTTCCAGAGTTTTCATCAGGTGCGATGTCAGTGCCACAGGTCTGTAGTCATTCAAGACTTTAGCGTGCTCCTTTTTGGGTACTGGCAGCAGGCAAGATGTCTTCCAGAGCACCGGAACCCTTTCTAATCTCAGGCTGAGGTTGAAGATGTACTGCAGCACTGAACCCAGTTGGTCTGCGCAGATCTTTAGCACCCTAGAGCTGACACCGTCAGGACCTGCATGGAGTCTCCTCAACTCCCTTCTGACCTGGTTAGCTGTGATGGATAGGCCGAGGAGGCCAGGGGAAGATGAAGTAGAAGTAGGAGGGATCTCATGATGGGGTGACTGAGGACATGAAGAGGGTGTCTGGGGTGAAGGCCTGTGAGGTGAATGGTCAGTGGACCCTGTATCGAATCTGTTAAAGAAAATATTCAGCTCATTTGCCCTCTCTAGGCCTCCCTCACTCTGTTGGCCACCGGACAACTTGTATCTGGAGATCTTCCTCATGCCATTCCACACTTCTCTCAGATTGTTCTCCCTCAGCCTGTTCTCCATTTTCCTCCCATAAGCCACCTTGCTCTCCCTAACTCTCACCTTCAGCTCTTCCTGCACTCGCCTCAACTCCTCCTTGTCACCTGCCCAAAAAGCCCTCTTTTTCCTATTTAGGATGGCCTTCAGATCATTGGTGACCCAGGGTTTATTATTGGAGAAGCAGAGGACGTTCCTGGTGGGCACGGACATGTCAACACAGAAGTTTATGTAGTCAATGATGCAGTGGGTAAGACCATCAATGTCATCTCCATAAGGCTCACAGAGCATCTCCCAGTCCGTTGTTTCAAAACAGTCCATCAGTGCATCATTTGCCAGTGCATCATTAGGTTTATATAGATAGAATGTAATCAGACATAGGCCCTGTTAAAAAGGTGAGATTTAATTTTGATATTTGAATGTTTTAAGTTTACAAACCTTATTTTAAACTGAGATTTGAGGGATTTCAAGTTTACATTAAAATTGTTCATTTTCAGGTTGTTCTATCACATCTGTATGCTCAATAATATTTTGTTTGGAACTTCTGTTACTGCTCTTAAATGGTTCAAATCTTATCTCACTGATCGCTGGCAGTTTGTCTCTCTTGGCTGGCCTAAATGATCATTTCTATGCTGATGATACTCAGATCTACGTCCATACCAAACCCAACACTGATGTCTCTAATTGCATCTCTGAGATGAAAACATGGATGACTCAAAACCTCCTTCATCTAAACTGTGACAAGACTGACGTCATGCTTATTGGCACTCCCTATCCACTTTGTAAATCCAATGCATAAACCTTAACTGTGAATGTACTGTACTAGAGCTTGATATTTGATTCAGGCTTGATGTTTGACCCACATGTGTAACATATTTTTTAAAACATCATTCTTTCACCTCAGAAATATAGCCACACTATGTCCTATGTTATCACTACCTGGCTTCCTGTCAGGTTTCATGTCGACATAAAAATCTTCGTGATCACCTATAAAGCTTTGCATAGCTTGGCACCACAGTAACTGTCTGAGGTACTATTGTCCTACTCTCCACCTTGCAAACCTTTCGCTCTTCTAATCCTGGTCTCCTGTTTCTACCCCAAGTCTATCTGCACTCAATGGGTGACAGGGCCTTCTCCTGTTATCCCCTAAAACTCTGGAGAGAGTCAGTCTTACATAGCACTTTCTAATCAAGACTCAAAACCAATTTTTAGAAGGCCCTTGACTTACTTTGCTTAGAATAAAATTATCAAAAAGATGTTTAATTATCTTTCTGTGGCTGTGAATGTACAACAACCATGGCACAGCTTATCTTCTCTGACTCACATCTAAATCAGTACAGCTGGACTTTTGTCACCATGGCTAAAAATCAAGTGATATTCATTAAGAACAGCTACCACCAGGGTGAGTGAACAACGTTTTCCTAGATGTCTGTCTCATTTGTGTTTGGACCAGAGTCACAACTTGTCACAAACTACAGGAAAGCCACTTGAGATTGAATCTGAGTTGAACTCTTTCCACGTAAGGCCAGATGGAAGTTTTATTTCTTTTCTGGTGCTGATAGCACAACCTTTGACACTGCCTTGAAAAAGATTTGACAACAGGGATAAATCTGGCTTCACCTGTCTCTTTTGGCAGGACTTTCAAACTCTCCATTGAACCACCCAGGCAATGTCCTGCTTTGGATGAATATAAGTTCAATTTTTACATTATAAATCTTGAAAATTGAACTATTATTCTAATGATTTTAGATAAATGTTGATTTGCGACAGTAACTAAATTTATACTTGTCTTCAAGATGATTGAATTTATTTATGAGGTTCACCATAACAAGTGCTATAGTCAATTTATTTAAACTGTACATTAATATCTTTGGAAACCCTGGGAATTATCAATCTTTTGCATCATGCCAAATTATTACTAGTATCCATAAAAATACTCACAAGGTACCATTCAAATTTTTAATTGTTCTATAACCATGAAGACTTCTACTACTACTAGGGAGGCACGGTGGTTAGCATCACTGCTTTTATTCACTGTGTTCCTGGATTCAGTTTCTGAGTTTGCAGGTTCTCTCTGTTCATGGGGATTTTTTGTGGAAATCCAAGCAAATACAAACTGCATACAAAGAGCACCCCAAGACTGGGACTGATCCCAGGTCCCCAACACTGCAAGACAGCAATGCTAACACTTGTGCCAACATGCCACCTAATGCAACAATTTGTTCTTTCATATTTGTTGTTCTTCAAACATGTATTCTGTCTGAACTTTATTGCCTCTATACATATTTCAATAGAATAACTCAAAGGAAGCCAATTTTCTTTACACTTTATTAAGTGTATACCAAGTTATCCAAATAGGGTACATTGTAAAATACAGAGTGATGCCACAGCATACATACAGTACAAATGATAAGATTAGTTAGACTTAAAAAATATATATGGCTTATTAAACAAGAGGCACATAGAATGTCACTCTTTTGAAACCAATATTAGGTAATTTCTTAGCTATTCTTGACAGATTATCCAAAACTGCTTACATTTCTGACATAACTTCTGACAGATGTTCCAAAACTGTTTCGACTTCACCTGGCTAAGGCAATCTACATTATACAGGTAGAAACATCTTGAACAGTTTGTAATTTGAATACATAATAGAATTGATTATCCTTCTGAACACAGAGTTTTTGTTGAACAACACATTTTACTGTTTGGTTCTGATAGACATGGTAGCTTGTTCTCCAGTCTGGAGAGGTAGAGTAAGGGCTGAATGCTGCTACTAATATTAACAAAGGAAAAGGCGAAGGGCTGGATGTAGCACTTAAACTCATCAGCAGAATAATACTGCTGAAATGGGAAAAGAGCTACAGGTGGGAGATAATTAAACACTATAATAGCCAGGATGGACAGAACCATCTTGAAGGCCTTCTTCTTCATGGGGTGCATCTCATCTTTCCCTGGTCCAGATCGCTTCAGAGCCCACAGGATGGAGATGTTACAGAAGACCATAAAGGCAAAGGAAGCCAGGATGCTGACAGTGAATATCTTCTCAAAGTTCTCAATCCCCCCAATGGCCTTGGCGATGGCGTATGCTAACGTGATGGCCAGCACCACCACTGAGCAGGCTGCTCTGTATTTGTGATCTTTGAGACCTGTGAAAGTGATGGGATGCAGCACAGCTACGTACCGGTCTAAACAGACACAGGAGAGAAACAGGGGACCCCCCATGTCTTTTAAACCGTAAGCAAACAGCTGAACACGCCAGGCATCTTTGTTATTGAGAAAAAATACATTAACCAGGTCTAGAGGGACCATGCAGCCAAAGAAACCATCCAAGAATGCAAGATTCAACAGGAAGATATCTGAAGTGGAGGCTTCACCCATGTTTCTCAGCAAAAACCACAGGACCATCACATTAGCTGGTATACCTAGAATGACATTGATAATCTGCACGCTTAAGGTAAATAAAATGCCAGCAACCTTTTCCTCACATCCGACAAACGGAGTCCAAGGCCTCTCTGTGGTTTTGGGTGAACTATAGTTAAGTATTAGGCTTGAGTTTATGGAGAAAGCATCCATCGTGATCTGTGGAAGGGGGAGAAAGAGGAACACTGTAGTTTATAAATCAGTCAAAAGAAAATGTCAAGGAACAAGTAAAGGTTTATTCCATGCTGGAAAGAGAAGAACGGAAACACAACATTTTGGCTGTAGAACCTTCTTTGGGTATCAAAAGAAAATGTCTTCTATTTCAATACATATTGAAGAGAAGTGATAGAGGCTGGGACACATTGATATTTATTGAAAGCTTAGATTCTCTCTGCTTCATTCAGCTGGTAGATACAGGTAACTGTATCAGTAGAATCACTGGAATGAATGTAATGTGTAATAGTTGCATGCATATGTAATTCTCATTTTTAGTGTCTTTGTCTACAGTAAGTCCATAGGCACCGTGACACCATTTCCTTATGAATTCAGTATTATTTAATAAAATGACCGCATTTTTTCCATGATCAGAACAAGGGCATTATAAAAAAGACATAACCTATCCTGTCTGGCCATCCATTTTAAAAGGTCTTTTCAGTTGTTACAGGTCACGTGCTGAGTCGAAAATGCAATACAAATTCTAGCAATAGAAAATAAACTAGAAATGATGTGTGTTGAATTGTGTTCCAAAATATAATGACAGTTACAAAAGCAAGGCAACTTCAGCGCAGATTAAATTGAAATGCAATGGAGATACCATAAAAAAGTGAAAAGACTTTTGAACTATTTATGAGCCATTTATAAGGACATGTCCTGCTCAATTTCAAATTTAGTTGTTTCCATATCTTTATAATTAGCAGTTATTACAGTATATTCTCATTGCGGTGAAGTGTGCTATAAAATATACTTGGCTAAATAATGGCAAAGTGCTACACAAAGAAAAGGAAATGGTTAAATAACTAAAGGAGTATTTCACACAGATGTCTACAAAGGGAGGCATTAATATCATGCCTCTGCCAGTGAAAGGAAAAAGTTGTATATTCACTATTTTTTATCACAGAAGAGGCAGAAGTGTTTCTAAGGCACTAGAAGCACCATTGATTAACACTGGTATAATGTATTGTACTGTGCTAGTGTACACTTGTGTCCATCTATAAAGAAAAGAGAACTGATCCAAATAATTATATACCAGGTGACTATTAATTCTATTACATCTGAATATATGGGAACAATAATTAGAACTGAAACAGAGGATTATCCATCCATCTGATTTCTACCCAGTTCATTGAATCCTGTGATGCAACAGATAGGAACAACCTGGACAGAACAGAGGACAGAGGACAGAGGCGCTAATTAACCAACCAGCATGCCTTTGGACAGTGGGAGGAAACTGGAGCACCTGGAGGAAAACCATGTGAACATAGGGAGACCATACTGTACAAACTCCCGCAGGCAGCATCCTAAGTCTGGAACTGAACCTGCTGTGAGACATTAATGCTAATCACTGCCAAAACATAGGATAACTTATAAGAAAATAATACCTTAAAGGATAGTCACCGTGGATTTAGAAAACATGTCTTGTTTAACTGAGACTTAGAGTTCTTTGATCAAGCTACAGCAGGAATGGACACACCCAGAACAATACAGTACAATACAGCACATTTCGATTTTATGAAGGCTCTTGATAAAGTTACCATTTAAAAAATAATTCTCAGATTACAGTTGATAGGAATTCTGGGATGTGTATGAGGTTTGGATGGAGAACTGTTTATTGGACAGGAAAACAGAGAGGATGGATAAGGAATGAATGCTAAACTTGGTGATGAAATTAGCTCCAGAGCCGAAACATTGTTTCCTTTCTTTTCTTTTCAGCATGGATTAAACCCGTTACCTGTCCCTTTGCAGTATTCAACTATCACCATCAAGGAAACAGCAAATGACATTCAAAGAAAAATTATATAAATTTCAAAAGGGTGGAATATTTCAAACAGGCCACATAAACAATACATACAAAATGGGAAACACTGAGCCTGACAAGGCTGCTTCTGTGAATCATAACTTACATCTTCTAGACAGTATAGAGAAAGAAAACCCAATGTATTCTCACTAGTATATTATAAAATTTAACTTCACATTTGAAATATAAACAGTATCTAAACAATTTCAGAAAATTTTGCATCATTTACACATTTACACAAGTGCTTTTAAAACATAAAGGATGCAAATAATGTACTCTACATGTTTCACAAAAGGAGCTTTGGAAAACAACAGGATATTTATTAGCAGCCAAAATAATCAGCAGCTTAGCAGATATTTCTAACATCCTAAACTTTGCATTGCTTTTGAAAACGTTTTTAATCAGTCATTAATAAAAAGTGAGATTTAATTTCTGCATAATAGTACTATTCAGAAAAAAAAATAAAACATAAAACAAGATGTCAAGACAAAAGATGTCAAAGTTTTACAGTATGCCATTTTTAAATATATATATATATATTTCCATGTTCCACTCAACCATCCAGGTTAGAAAATACCACATTAGAGAAAATGCATTTTTGTGAGTGAACCTTTATAAAGTCTGCAGGTGAATTCATTATAACACTTGCTTCTTAATATGTTAGATACAGTACACTTTCTCAAAACTCTGTAGCAGAATGAGTTAAAAGAAAGCCTGGACAGAAATGTAGCTTTGTGAGAAAAATCTTAAAATACAAGCAGTAATAACAACTACATTTTGGAATCGGATTTTTTTTTCTGCTCTTCTGTGAAATTCTTTGTTGTCCTTAAGATATTGAGAAATTGATCTAATTAATGATCTCATTGTCACATGTAGATTCCAAAATGTTCTGAAAGCTGTACTGTTGCATTTCATTTTTTGGTACCCAAACAACACTAAATGCCTTTGAAACAACATAAAAACTTTAATCATTTAAAGGGTTCTTGACTAGGTATTACAGAGTTTTATACCATAAGCGGTGGAAATAAAACACGATCTTACCAAAACTACAGCAAGGTCTTCATTCAGGTTATTATGATTGCATGCTAGTCTTCTGTTTACAAAAGGCAGTGTACTAAATTCTTCAGCAGCCCCTCTATGAATATGGATATTAAACACCTGGGGCAGAGCTATATAAAAGACGTCCCAAATCCCTCTCTTGAGGGGAGCTGTTGAATATGTCCAATTAGGAGACACAGCAAAGGGACTTTTCTTTTTAAAACCCTCTGATAGCAATATTGATCCTTAAATATTAGGAATTTTTGTTCTCCATTTATTCAGTATCTTAATCATTACATAATAGCACCCATCCATTTTCTAACAGTTTCTTCCCATTCAGGTTTATGGTGGAGTGGAAGTCAGTCCCAGCAAGCAACAGGCATGATACACCCTGTTTGGGATGCCAGTCCATCACAGGACACACACAGAAACACACTCACAGCAGAGTCAGTTTTCCAGGAAGCCAATTAAACTACCTGTGTGTTTTTGTACTGTAGGCAGATGCTGCAGCAATGGTGGAAGCCCACATGAACATGGGGAGAACATATAAACTCCACACAGACTGAACCCCAAGACCACAACTGAACCCAGTACCCCAGTACTGCGAGGCAGCAATGCTGACCACTCTGCTGCTCTGTACATAATAATTTTAACTAAATCTAACCTCTTCCTTAAACCTGGTGAAAGTCAAGAAACAAAATTTAAGACTGGAGACACTAAGCCACTCTTACAAAGAGAAGAACGTCTTCATGCCTTCATGTTTGATAATGTAACCTATGTTTTTCTTCAAACTTTGCCTCTCCAGTGTAGTGTGCTCTCTGAAGGCACCAGTTCTGTAGGATTTGGGCATTTACTGGGACAATTATTAATTGTAGCAGTAAATCACAAAATTGATTCTTTTGATGGCTTTAGAATCCAACCATGCAATATAACTCAAACAACACACACACACACTGGTACTAATACACGAGGTAACATTTATTAATACATAAAATATGCATATAAACCTAACCGATCTTATCGTTAGGGTTATCAGAATACAAAAGATATATATTCATTCAGTTACGAAGAGTTACATATATCAAGAGGACATACGTTCAGTATATCATTTACGACCGTTTCGTAAATGAACTTGGTTATAACTTCTACATTAGATACTCAAAACAAGTACATAACTCTTAGGAATTAAATT